TTTAAAAATTAATGTCAAAAACATTTCTACTTACCCGTAATTGATGATTCTTTCACTAAATCAGATACCATATTGCTACGATCAGTTAGATCCTTTCCTTCATCGATAAAACTAATGTTGTCTGCTGCGACGCTTGATAAGCTATTGACACTCACACTTTTCTCTTCATTCAAATTGGTTTGCTGCAATTTGCCATCCAACAGATCAACCTTGTTCAACATTTTTGCGCAATTATCTGCTCGGGTTTTCATTTCTTGATTTTCTTCTTCAAAGTTGACTTTCTTTCTTGTACTGAATTTATTTGTTAAGTCTCTATCTTTGCTTTTGAAACTCTCTTTAAAACTTTTCTTTCTGCTGTGACTATGAGCTAAACCTATTACGGTAGTAGGTCTAGGACTAGAATCTAGTCCTACGTTGCAAGATACGCTCTTATCACGCAGAAAAGCCGGATCTTCGCCAAACTTACTGATATCGATATGATAGGAGCTGGACGCGTGATTGTCGTTAGGTCTGGATTGCAGAAGATCCCAATACTAAAAAAAATATGTTCCCAAATTAAAAATATTCGTTGAATGCGAGGAATGCATACAGGGCGACTCATTATTGAACACTTGACCTATAAACATACACAAATTTTCTATTTAGTAACTTTTAGGCATCCAGGAGGATGTTAGTTGAGAAACGACATCCAAATATAATATTTTTAGTTCATTTTTAAAATATTTTCCTCAAAACCTAAACTATTCATTATTAGTTCATTCATTAACATTCGGCCATTAAGTTCATATTCTTTGGGAATACATAGAGAGACAAATAGAGGCGCAAAACCAGTGTTTCATGACAAGCAAATCGATCATTCAGGAAAAAACAAGCACTGTGCCACCATCGAAATCAAGTCAAAACCGTCGCGCAAGTTTTTCTTGATCGGTAAATTTAGAAGAAATACTCCTTAGCAAATAATAGTTCATAATCGCGTTTTGTCAACTTTTTTGATTGAACATCCTCCGTTTAAACCCCACTGCTTATTAAATAGATACTAAATCAATGAAAGTTTGGGAATTGAGGATCAATTGGTAGAGGAAATTGTTTCCCATATATTTTTCTTGATCTCAAACTTTCGCAGAAAATTTTTCTTTTAACCGCAATGATATAAGATCCACACATTCTCGTAAAGAATTAAAATGTTGTGAGTGACTGATTTTCAACATTTTACGTAGCTTTTTTTAAATTTCGTTTTCTTTAATATATCGAATGAGCAGCAAATAATAGCAAATAAATGTTGCAAGCCTATTTTTACTTTATTTTTTTTATTTAACTATGTATGCCTCCTTTTTTACGCCCTGTATCTAAAATACAGACATATGGGCAATAACCACATAACATAGCTCTCTCCACTGGATCCATTAACCAATGTAAAGCAGTTTTTAGACATATGTTCTCGTCTCGTTTGAATGTTTTTCTTTGAAAGCATTTAAGAAAATGTTACAGTCAATTGACTACACATTTCAGCCAGAAGCCAATGCCATAAAAGTATAACATTTTTGTCTTAAAATTAAAAGTGTCACGAAGGGTCTTGCTCATGAATCACCTTGTAAAATGCTTGTTTCCATATGTATTAAAGGTAACGAGTGAGTGACTCATTTTTCTAAATCCACCAGAAGAGCCATAAATGGATATGCATACTTTTCAGTAGTTACCATACATGAAAAAATGTTCATTTTATATTAAAGCAATGTTCAATTACCATAAGCAAAATGGCCCATTATATCCAAAAATGTGTCCCATGAGAAAATACGAGGCCCTTAATAAAGTTTATAATATTTGTTCGTTTCTTTCTAAAGTTTCCGACATATTGTATTAAAATGGGCTTCAGGGCATTTAATTTTTGGACTACATTAAAAATGTTCGTAAAATCCTATAAACTATTAAATGCTTTTAATGAATTAATTAATTCCTAAAAATATTACAAATGGCACAAATCCATTAAATCAATCAAAGATCATGTTATGTTTTTTGGGGCAAAAGACAACATTTTTTTATCAACACCATAAATATATGATCCACTTAAAAACGGAATATATTTATAAAAAAACTGTAATTAATGTCCAAGTAGGAAATACTTTTCGTCGCTAAAATGTGACACTACGTACTATACCTAGTAGGTACAATTTTCGCGTTCAAAAATCCAAAAAAAATTGTCAAAATAGGGCAATAAATATACGATTTATGAGGGTGCACCGCTTTAAATGAGTTAGAAGCATATACCAAGACAAGTTTGCTAATGTTAATAACAAAATGATGGGCGACCGGACGAATTTTTGAAAAAAAAATTTTAAAAAGGAAAACGAATGAAATATTTGTTTTTAAAATATTGCATGCTATAAAAATGTGCGTACGTTAACGATAAACATTTTATGAATTCGTAAATTTGTCGTTCACCATATTCTACTGAAGCGGTCCTATAGATTTTACAATTATTTACATTTTCGCTTAATTCATTTAACGAACTGTTAAGATTTTTAAAATTACGCTTTTTTATTCCTTTGAAAATGTACTTGAATGTGAGCCATCCTGTACATATTTTATCTTAAATGATTTATTTAGAATTTTATAAAACTGGTTCCCAAACCAATCAAACACTAAATTTTAAAAATATCTTTAAAAATATGTTTAAGTTAGAACCACTGTAAACATATTATAAATTGAAATAATTACCTTGAAACGCAATAATAAATAGCTGCTGAAAAATAAAACACTAGACACATCAACTTAAAACACTGAAAGGCTGCTATTCAAGGATATTTTCATTTACATTTAAAAAATAATTGGCTTCATAAATAGTTCATAAACAGGGAATATCTTAATTTGAATTAATGAGGAATGATTGACACAATGCGGAGTGTTAGACTCCAACAATAATTGAATGCAGAATTACAAATAAAATGAACTGTGATTCTTATCTGCAACACAGGATGCGAGGGAGACTTGTAATAAATTTAAGTTTGATAGTTGTTCTTGGGGCAAACAGTAAAACGAGTATCTTATCATTTGTTAAACATAAATGATGGAATAAGTCGAACGCCAATAAGTGTATATTGTAGTAAATAGTGCACCGATAAAGTAAAGATAACTAGCCATAGGTGAAGGCAAATAATGAGCAATTAAGAGCATAATAATACAATAATTAGCGGCTTATGGGTATGTGTAGAAACCATTGCTCTAGTGCTATGCTTATAATTAAGAAACCATTAAAAACATTTACTTTTTTCTTGAACGAAGTAGCAAAATGTTATCAGCATCAGACCACCCATTGAAATAATCATCTTCCTACATGTATTTCTAATAGTGATATGTTATGCTGGTTCCGCATATGGTACTAACCCTTTAATAATGGTGCGAATTTCAGTAATTCGCATCATAATCGCCTGGTATATATTTCCATATTTGTTGAATTCGTTGAGATTCTATTCACCTCCTATATATTCTAAATAAAATACAAATGTTTGGCGTATTTGCGTCTTAACATATCATCAGAATTTAAAAACGAATCTGATATTGACAACTATCTTCACATTTCTAAAAGTTTTCTGGTTAACATTTTTCGATTAAATCACCGACCTTTTCGTTTGTGCCTCTAGACTTTTACAGCATTAAGTTAAATAATTGTACATAAACGTATAAAATTGGAGCATTACAAACAATGTTGGTTGAAAGATCACATTATGATGTAATAAACAGTTTTCGATGAATATTTAGCAAACATTTAGATAGGTGGAAATATGTAGTTGCAAACGGAGCAAGTGTTCGTTTTGTAGTTCTACCACCGACAGGCAGCAAAGATACAAAGATGTTTGACTTAATATTTATATTTTGAATAGTTTGTCGCCTAATTTTGACCGCCATGTAGAAAGCATGTTTACGATATTCGTAAGATACAAATTTGATCCCATTGGTGACAAGACTTTAATGTTGTAGTCCTAGATATCACAATTAAAAAAATTTAACATGCAGTATTATGTGTATTGAGTGTTGCAACTTATACACTAGTTTGGGATAAAGTTGCAAAAAGCAATATATCAACAATAGAGGCATTTAGGCGCTCGTATAAGTCTTATTGCAACAGAGAAATAAAAAAACTAAGGCATTACATTAACATTTTTTTGCTGAGGATTCTAATTGCAAAAATTCAAATACTTATTTATGTTAGGTTGAAATACCGTGGAAATGAATAAATTAAATATGCAATATAATAAGTTATCATTGATGTTTCTTGTGAAAAACTTCTTTTATAAAAACTATCGCCCTCAATGCATTTTCTAAAATTTATTTACAATAATTCTTATAATTCCTAGTCCCAAACTGTTTTTTGAGTAATTTTGAGGCATGTTGTAAATTACGCACTTTTGGACATCAAAATATTTAAAACGTTTTATTTAAAAAAAATCAATTTAAAACGAAACTTAGTATTTGGCATTTTAGACAAAATGACTGAACATATTATATATGGATTTCAAACAATTCCATACGTAAATGACCCTGGGACAAGCGAAGTTATCCGACAAAAATTTAGAGTGCTTCACCTCGATCCCCAAAAATTTTTTGCAAGAATTTAAGACCCTATACAAGGTAACCGCCGCGATCGATATCTGGCAAACTGTAATAACGAGGAATTTTAAAATTGGACAGTGTGTCGAAGTCATTGGGGGCAAGCGACCTAAAATATTTTCCCACTTCTGGTTATACCGACAGTGGGTACCAACTTGCTTATTTTAAATGGAACACCCTATGTATTATTACATTATTGAATTATTCTCCAAATTTTAAATACAATTCATGTATAATATCCTATACCTAAGTCAAACCGTTTTTGATATAATAGAAATTTTGCAGCCACTCGAATAATTATTAATTTTTCCTATAAGGGAATATGTGATATTTAATTTTAGTCACATTTCTTGTTATAGATGACTTACTTTAATGAAATTTCGACAAAATGTTGATAACTATTAATACAAAGTAGGCCTGGGTAACACAGTGGTCAGGTGTTCACACAGCGACACCGATACGGCTTGCCATATTGATACAGCGCCACAGCGCTCCACACTTTTATATGTTTGGAAATAAAAACAGAAGACGCGGTGTTTCGTGATGTATAGTGAAGAAATTATCCAAAAACATTATTTTCCGAACAAAAATTTACGAAATAATTCTCTTCATGCCGAGAAATCTCATGCACCTACTCCGGAGGCTTGGTCTTCACTGAACTGTTCTAGTGATCGTTCAACAGGTTCTGTATTTTTTTCTATTTTGTCTTCGGTTAAAGGCAATTCATGCGCTCTGCCCCCACTTATTGAAAAGGTTTTCGATGTCGGCTATGCCCAATCAAGTTAGAGCAATTTCAGCATTGTTTACCTGCAAAGGGCAATAAATATCGTGTACTTGTGTTCAGTGGTAATTTGTATGGCTTTCCAATATTGGCCAGATCTTTGGCGTTTTGCGTTCCCAGTAGTGGATGGTTTCACCTTATTGCTAGTCTGGGTTCCTGACTTCCAAATTTTTCCCAAGAAACACTTTGCGCTTTTTTTTTTTAATCTACTCAACTTGCACGGTATACTTTGACTTTCTTCCATTGTGGTTGCCGTAAGAGTAGTACCCGATATAGGGAATTACTATAGTCCATACGTTTGAATATTATTTAGGTACCCTTCGAGCCCTGCTTCTCCAGACCACTTATGCGTTCCTGATGGAATTTATGCAAAAGCATTAGTTTTCCGAAAAAAAATTACTAAATACGAATGAATCTTCTTGCCGAAAAATCCCATACACCTACTCTGAAGGCTTGGTCTTCACTCTTCACTGAACTGTTCTGATGATCGCTCAACCGGTTCTCTAATTTTTTATATTTTGTCTTCCGTTAAAGGTAATTCATGTGCTCTGCCCCCACTTATTGAAAAGGTTTCCGATGTCGACTATGCCCAATCAAGTTAGAGCAATTTCAGCAATATTTACCTGCAAAGGGCAATAAATATATTAATCGTGTGTTCAGTGGTTATTTTTATGATACCCGATGTAGGGAATTACCCATAGTCCTTACGCTTCAATATTGTTGGCCTCTTCTGGCCTTTTATACGTTCCTGATAAAAATTATCCAAAAACATTCTTTTCCGAACAAAAATTTACGAAATAATCTGAGAAATCTCATGCACCTACTCCGATTATGACCAATTTGAGATATTCAAATGAAAAACATTTATTTTTTAATTATTCGGAACTTTTCAAATAGTAAGTGCATCGAGTAATAAATAGTTGAAGAACTACATCTATCCGGCCCCATCAAGGTTATTCAAATTTAGCGACAAATTTCCCTGTGGCGCAAATAGACGCCCAAATAGGTCTTCCCGGATAATACATTCAATTTTAAAATTATTGAACAAAATACGATAATCAAATATTGGGTTCTGTGTGAAAATAATATAAAAAAAATATATAAACTATTCTTTATTATTCGTAGCTACCTTATTAGCTTGTGAAAATATAAGTATAATTTTGATTGCTGCCCCATTTCAGAAAAACGCTGTGTAATCGCGCCTGCGGCGCCCTTCTCTTTATATGTGCGTATATATTGTACTACAAAAATGTATAAGTTAAACTTTTTATTGTCTTGATAAAATGAAAAATTTTAAATTAACACCTGCCACCAAATTGATTTCTTTCATCAATAAAATAATCTGATTTCAATATTTATCTCGCAAAACTTCAAATTACATCCATTGTCTTATATGCTTATGAGGCGACTTGTTCTTTAATGGCAAGGAGAGAAATTCACCTAATCAGGAAGCGAAATGACAATGCTACCTATTTTATTACTTGGTTATACTTACTTATACTTTGTGACATTTTCAGTTTTGGAAACAAATTTTTATTACTATTTTGCTTTCTTTTTCAACCTACCTATCCTCCAAATGCACCACGCCACATTGTAATCACCCTATTATATATGTATATTGTACGTAAATAGAGTATTCAACAAAAAAACACCAAATAATTGTAAACATGCAGTTTAATGCCTTATTCAATTTTGCTCACACATTTCATACATTAGAGGGGGTGCCAAATAAAACCCCAAAAGTCACAAAATGTATAAATTGGAGTTAACGGCTAATTCTTAATATTATCGATTATTTTCATATAAAGTCTTCAAGACAAAGCAAAGTCCCACAAATCCCTGTAAAACATCATTGGGAACTGTCGTGTTCCAAGCAAATCCACACATATCTATAATTATGTCTGATTTGTCCAAAAACTCACAAGTCCATGGCATCCAATAGGGTTTAAAAAAAGTTTTGAGCATTGCATAGTATATTTGCATCCGCCTAATATTTATTTATTGCTATTATTTTTGTTTAAAAAAGTAGGAAAAATCAAAGAACTTGGAAAACACTGAAGTTTGAAAAATGCCAATGGGATTGAAACGTGTTTCCAAAAACTTTATAAAATTAGCTATAAGAAAATCATTTTTATTGAAAAATTTCAAAAAAGCGTCGTGTAATCGTTTCTGAGAGGGTCAACGATCATTTTTCGTTTTGTTTAAAAGCAACACCTCTTATAGAAATTCCTCTCATTCACCAAATTAGTGCTGCTAAGAAAAGCTTTCATAAGTTTTTTATGTTACAAGAATGTTGCAATTTGCGAAAATATTTCCACTGTTCCAGAGGAAGAGCAATAGGGTAAGAATGATGAATGTTGCTGCTTAGGAGATGACAAGGCCTTATACAGAACTAATTTTTGTTGTAAACTTTAACTTTCTATTTTTGCATAAGTACTTAGTTAAGGAAATATAAATAAACCAAACAAATTGAACAGACATTTACTGCACTTGGTTATTAAATTCCTTATAGTTAATTATCTGTACAAAATACCACAAGTCCGCGCAGTGTTTTAAGCAAAAACCCACATATTCAAACGTTTAATGCGATTTACGTACGTCGTAAGTTTTTTAAAGCTTTCTGAGCAACTTATAGAATTTCAAAGATAGAGACAACATTAAATGACAAATTCTGACAAATTTAGATGCAAGCCTTGAGTTCTTAAAAATTTAAATCAGCAAAAAATTATTGATAATATGAGAACGGTTTCAGCTAAGTAATTAATTGTCTTTAATAAATATGTTTACGTAGTGGGTACTGAATAAACTAACTTTGCTCATTAGCTAGCACACTTGAGTATAATTTTCTCTACTTACACATTTTAAATTATTGTTTCTAAAGCATTCTGGACTATTTGTATCGACAAATTTCCTGCATGTTTGCGGTGACTAAAAAAGTTAAACTAACAAGCAGTTATATCGCCGGCTTCAGTAACAAATCAGGGTTTAATAAGCTCAAAGCTGTGCTTACCTTTCAAGTCGTGTTTTCAAATTTAACAAAAAATACAAAATACGGCTCATTTAGTATATTTCATAAAAATCACCTGCGTACTATTTTAAAACGGAAATTAATTTGAATTGAAATTCAAACCACCTTTACAAAATAAACAGATTCTTTTATCTACCAATCTGCATGGAACCCATTCAAAGAGGAAGACAATGGCCACCCTGTATAATGTGGATGGATCAGTAATTTTTAAATAACCCCCCAAAATAGCCACTATTACAGGAATGCGTTCATGTTACATTAAGAGAGTTTATTCACTCACCTCTTCAATAGAAGTAGTCGGTCTTTTGTTAGTGGGGGTAGTACCAGTAATAGTATTTCTTCTTTGCAAAATAGGTCTAGGCTTGACAGGGTACATTCGGAAGTTTCCTTCTAAGGGACTGTCCGGTGGTTCACTATCACTGCTGCTTAATTCGGCTTCAACATTGTGAATTTCTTCTTCAGATCTAAGAAAATTAAAAATATAATCATGGCATGCACCTTTAAAGTGAGCCCATTTTTACAATATACTTACTGTATAATTTTAATATGAGGTAAATCCATAGGCAGCAATCTAGGTGACGGCAAGTTCTCAGTCCATTTAGACCATTGCTCGGTGCTTCGTTTCCTACTCGGTAACCTGTAAGGTTTCATGTAGATTTGACCATACACTTTCGAATGTCGTGGTCTCTTTTTAAGTGTCAATACTATTTCTGGCGATACTTCCTGTAGTAAAAGCATTACCTTCTTTGCTTGCCAACCCACCACAGTTTGATAGTTTACTTGAACTATTTCATCTCCTATCAATTAAACAAAAAAAACTCAGTTCATCTTCTCCATCATTATGAGCGTTCTGCATGCACAGTATTCACCTTGCAGTATTTACTTAAGACTTACCTTCTTCAATTTTGCTGCTACCATGTGCAGGTGATCCAAACTTAATATCAACAATCTGATGAATTGGATGATAATTTGGCATGATATAAAATCCTAATTCTTGTTCTTTTTTCTTTAATTTTGCTAAATCTAAAGACGCAGGTTGCAGAATCATTGGATCACAAACTTCCTGAAATAGAACGGATTTTTAAATACGTAGGTATATCAAATATAAACGGGATTGATCTATTTTTTAATTTCGGACCGGTAATGGGCTTCGTCAAATGGTTTGTAGGTACCTTGGGCGGTTAGGGAGAGGATGGCAACGAATTGAATCCGGTCAGATACGCTTAGTATTGGTACATGTTTCCGTGGAACAACGAATAATTATTAAGTTTTTGGCCAAAGAGTGGCTAAATCTATCAGACATATCGCGGCAAATAAACGCGCAATTTGGAGATAACAGCTTATCAAGAACCCGCTTCTTTGCATGGCGCAAATAATTTTTCCAAGCGCTTTAAAAAGTCGAACATCAGAGTCCCATTCCGCACACAAGAACGAGCCTTAACACCATTGAAGTGATCCGAGCTCTCATATAGGCCCATAAACCTCTTGAATGTCCCCAAAAATTAGAATAGCGGGTTCTATTAATACATATGGAACGGATTGGAATTATTAGCATTATTATGGATCTGAGCACCGATTATTCACAGAATAAAACTTCTTGTCTTCAGACAGTTTTCAGATTCGTTTTAACTGTACAGTTTGCTGAGTAGGTAACTGCACCGCTTAGTTAGAATTTGGTTTCGATTGAGCTCTTGGTTACTATACTTGGTAATAAATTTTAAATCTTGAAATAAAAGGCGAAATTTGGATATGATATACAAGATTAGGCCGACATGTTATGCATTAGGCCACTTTTTTCCCGTTTCTCAGCATCAGACTGAGCTGGCTGGATAAAGCGTTAAATGACACATTTTAATTAATTAAGGCATGAGATCTGGAGCTAGCAGATAAACCAACAAGCTAGAGAAGATTGAAAAAAATATATATATAAAAAAAGCGAAGATGCTCAAAACTATAAGATAATAAAATTAATATTCAATGTAAATTCTCAATAATTCTTGAAATAAGGACTTTCACAGGACATTTTTAATTACTTGAAATTTCGATAGTTTCTATCATCGCTCGGAAGTTGATGAACAGTTTAATGTTTAAGTGATTCCTTCGCGGTTTTTTGGTTTAGTCAATATTTTTTGAAAAGCAAAATTAATTCGGTTTTTTATTTTAGTTTTAGCGTTGTGCATTATTCACTGCAGGTGAATGAAATTCATACAAATATAAATAGCTAAATTCAAAATTAAGTGAGCGAAAGCATTTTTGGTTTAGTTGTTGTTGATTTTCGGATTTTCGTTAAGTTGGAACGTGAAATTTGTCTTTGGAAATATGGCCATGCGAACACGCACTTTCTACAAAAATGTCAACAATAAATAAACTGAAATCAAACTGCCAGGTACAATGAATCATCGAAAGGACGAACAAGCACATGATTATATAATCTGTAGTTTGAATGTAGTAAAATAGTATCAATGTAGTTTGCTACCGACAGTGGACGAAATTGGTCGATAGTCCTTTGTGTCGTATGAATCGCGTTCTTAGATGGGAAATATAGAATGATTCTGGCCCTTATTCTCCCTGCTAACTGCAGGGTTACATTTTTATATTCGAAGTGGATTTTCATTCTGTGTAGTGTGAAAGTGTAGTGAACTTGCACTGTAGTGCCAGCTTGCAGAAAGCTGGTAAGATTATTCTATAATCTATAATTTTTTTAGCTTGAACTGAGTTTAGTTTTCCGACAAGAAGTTTTATGGATTCTTTATATTTATCTCTCTTTGCTTTGCTGGTTTCAAATAACTTTGGCTTTGGACAGAATTCCTGCTGTATTAGACATTTCGTTCTTTCTTTCCAGGAGGCACTGCGCAACTTTCGGTAAGTTTAGCATTACTTTGCCGTTGATTGCCAAGCACATGTAGCACTTTCCCATATTCATCATCTGGCTCGTAGGGTGGTTTTGGTTGCGATCGAGCTATTGGTTCTTTTGCACTTTTAAAAAGTTTGCGAATATTTTGGGCGGCTTTGTATTTTTACATCAAGCTCCTCTGAAGCATGTCTCTAAAGAACCGTTTCAGATATGCAAACATGGATTCTAGTTTAATATTTTTGGGCAAAAATAGTCAATAGTGTTAGTTTTGCTTGTTTTTTTTTATTGCAAAATCGACGGAAACATGACGCCGCTCTTTTCGTCGTCGCTGAAAAACTATTTGAGCCATAGATTTATATTTTTTATTATTGGTTATTCGATACAGTTATTAGTTTAGATTTATTATTAGTTTTTTATAACTGGTAATTCGATTCAGTTATAACAACGTACGAGAGTAAATTCTGGTGGATTTTATACGAAAGAAACTACGAAATTTGAATATCAGACATTTAGGTGCAAGTTTAGGCCAAAATTTCATTTAAAAAAGCGCCTTCTACAGAATGTCAATATTTCAACTTTGGAAGTTGGAATTTTTTATTGAAGAGTCGGTAGTTGCGTGAAACCGGAAAACGGAACATTTCGAAGCTCCCAAATTTTGGAATGTGATTTGAAGAATTTCCGAGGCCATCACTGCGCCAACTCCTAAACATTCACTGGGTTACCCATGCCTAGTTTAAAGAGGTTTTAACTTAACATTACTTTTGCAAAAGGCAATTCGGTTGCTTTAAAAAATAGTTATTACATACTTAATTTGTACAGTCACTGAAACACACGATCAGTCACAGAGCTCTTTTTATATCCAAATTCGCATTGTTGAGTTTTTTTTTGAACTGATCCAGATGATAATCGTATAAAATAGATCTATCATGAGGCATGTTAATTTTTCTTAAGCTTTTCCTTCTCAAGAAACACAAGATTTTGTTAACTACCTTAGAGTGAATATTTTATTAATGGAATTATGGAAAAGGGTGTTAGATAACTAAATTTAGACACTTACTTGAATAATATGATCTGCAATCTTGGCAAATTTATCACAAATCTTTTTGATTGTAGGAACAGGATTCTCAGAGAAAACTCCTCTGTGCGCTATATAAGCCATTTCAAAACTTAAACTCAGCAAGTCCCTCTTGCTATCTATGTAGTCTTTGTCTCCAGTAAACGGTGCTCTATAGAAAAGTAGATTTAAAATGAAATTGAAAGGATGAAAATTCAATAACAAAAAGCACCATGAAATGAATAATTTATAGTTACCTATCTAGCCATAACACCAAGGGTTTTGCAGCTGCAATGATATTATGAACATCGGACATAACTTGTGTTTTGAGAGAATCACACTTTTCGTCGATTAAAAGTAGTTCCTTGTAGAGGGAGTTGGCAGTACAAGACAGTTTAAGGGCCAACATTTGCAAGTTTTCTTTGTCCAATTCATAATGCTAAAATATAAAACGTTACTGCTTACTAACATGAAGTGCGTGTGTTAGAAAAAAGCAACTTATTTATTTCAAGAGTGAATTAACACATTTACAATTTTTTTCAAACATATTTTACTAGTGCGCTTTAAACTTTTGTTAGCGCATAGATAAATCAACAATAAAACGATTAAAACAGTTTATGTGTCTTCAGTCGCAGTGCCCAGAACGTGATTATTTTTGAACACCTTACTAATGACTGCAGGAAATTATACTTGCAACGTTTTCGTAAACGAAGTTTACGGTTCTTTTCAAACGGTAATTAAAACTTGCAGCAATTAATTTAGATATCTGCTGCTTCAAAGATGTTTTGCGGTAAAATTTGGGAATAGGAATTTCTGAACACGATGCAGAAAAAATCAAAACTAAAAAAGTTTTGATTTTTTTCAATTTTGAATTTAAAAAATTTTAATTTGTAACTATTCAAGCTTACCGCTGCGCTCCCTCTGCTTGGCTTCTAATAATTAACCACAAGTGAAAAATTGTATATAGAAAATTGAATTATGTTAATCTAAATATTACCCAGTTGATATCGGGGATATATGAGAAAACATGTTGCGTTGGTTAATATCCGAATATCAAGTTGGTTAAACGGTATTCGCTTAAGAAGTATGCCCGGTAGAAAGTGATCGTTTATTTACAATGTATCTAACATTACATTCAACATGAACAGGCGAAAATGGTTTTGAACTCAACTTTAACAGATGTTAATAATCTCCATTCTTTTCAACACAGTACATTTATGTTAAACTCGGGATTATCTCATTAATGTCGAGATTATCCAAGTTTAAAGTTTAACCGTAACAAATTTTTAGCAATATTGACGTTATGGCGAAATTTTGCATAAAACAATGAAAGAAATAAAAATTAGTAATATAACAATTATGGTTATAACCAACATCTAGTAGATTAATTAATAAATACGCACAAATTTAAGAAAAATAATCATAATTACACTCTTTTATCAAATAACATATTAATCAAGCGCAATCTTCCCCAAATTTCAAACGCCATTTAGGTGAGCAATCAAGAATTTAAATTTTCACGTAATCTATTTTGTGTCAGCGAATATTTAAAATACCCAAACACCCCACTTGAATTCATTCAAGATGTGAAAGCTACCACCATCAAGCCAAAACTGAGATTCCATTCATTGCATTATTTACGCTACTTTACTACACATTCCTTCGAAACCGGTATTCATGCGCATCGAAACCGGTTTAGAAGACTGCGATGATCGGGTGGGCTCAAATTCCTCGGGAAATCCCGCTTCCTATTGGCCGGAGTCGGAGTTCACGCATTCCGACGAAGGTCTCGCATTGGGGCGATGCCCATTCTTCGGGTCTCCCCGTCTGCCATCGGATGAACGAAAATTCCGCGAATTCTTCACGTTTTGCATGGGTTTCGGTTAAAGAATCAGATTTGAGGTATTGAATCAGATAGAGTAAATGTGAAATTTGCAGAATTTAGCCATATACAGCATAATTCCGACAGCTTTCCAATTCAACTCCGTCTAGCTGATAGCGCCTTAAACTTTTGGAAGTGATCATGGCCTATCATTTAGATATATATATAAATAATCTTTATTTCCTATAGAAAAAGGCTATCGACCCAATCTGTCTTTCTGCCCTATCATTTAGATGTTTCAGTGTTTTTCAAAATTCAACACTATTAACAAATTTTTGTCAAACGATTCGTGCTAAAGGATTTCAGCGGCCAGGTTCCGTACGACCATTCGAGTTCTTATTCAGATCCAGATTATTTAAAGTTCCGATTGTTCTTCTAAATTTCGGCCGGTCAATGATGTAGTGTTTCTGGAACAACATCGGGTCTTTAATCTGATAAAAAAGTAATTATAATTGCACGTGAGAATCACTATAAGAGAAATCCACTGTATTAAAATTAGGTTAACTAAGCGCGAAGAATATAAATATGAAAAATTTCAACTGCGGTCCCGAATAGGGTTTTCGAAAAATAATAACAATTTTAATACTGCAGGCTGAAATATTTGCACATTTATCTTAAAAAACGATGCATTTTTTACAAACACTTAAATGTTTCCTGTGTGATACATCTATCAACCAACAGAACATGAAGCTCATAATTAAACATATTTCTAGAAAATAAGCTTTCAAATTTCTCTGACACTCCATTTTTTCACTCTGGTTTAATTTATACCATTAATATTACCTAGGCATTACTACTGAGTATAAGTAGAACATATACACAGGGTGATTTTACGAAGCGACACCCCCATATAATTCCTTAAACGCGAAGAAATTTTCAAAATGTTTGAAATAAAAATTAGAGGTGAATATGTACTATATTTTGCAACCGCCAACTATTATCAAGGAGCTGATACATGCCGGTACCTACAAGGTTCAATTATCAGTTCATCAGTAATTATTTAAATTTAAAAAATATGCAAGTGATCCCTAGATGTTTAAATGTACTTCCATAACGGTTAATATACAATTGTAATTCTTTTGTGATTTTCTATAACATCTAATAAAGTTTCTTGGGAAATTTTATCAGATACATTTATAATGACTTGCTTCATATTTTTTAGGGCGTTAGGTGGTGTAGCATATAAATCTGGCGATCGAATAGGCCAAGAAATTGTTTCAGATCTTCTAATCCATCGATTAAGGTAGGTTTTGTTTAAAAACTATCCCGTTTTACGTGCATAAACTGGCAGGTCCAAAGCATGATGGGGTACCAAATATTTTCTCACATTAAGCAATATATATTTTTTTTAATTTTTGGCTAGCATTTGAGAGGAATTGAAAGTTCTCCAGACAGTGTTTTCAGAAAAATGAGGACCTATTTTTGCTGTCTCCAAACAAAATGCATCCCCATGCATTTAATCTTTTTGAATGTCACGTAATCTTCTATAATAAGACTTGGATGTGTTATAATATTGCTAGTTGTCTGTTCACGTGCCAATTTTTGTTAAGACATGCTCGTCAGCAAACAAAATATCTTGTAAAATTAGATGGTTTAGATCATCAACTTCATCAATTTATCAACTCAAAGTTATGTTTGAACTATTTTTTTTTCGTCTTGCTTAACGAATAACACGGAGAGGTAGCTTCGTAGATTTACCCTGTAGTTAAAATAATAAAGAATAGAAAATAGATAAAATGAACTCACAAAATGTCTTAAATGTTCGACAGCCTCTAAAATGATCTCTTGGTGCCCCAACTTTTTTATTCCAAGATTGTCAAGATCATCGGCTCGAAAGTTTAACAGTTGATGTCCTTTAACACCATTATTCAGAAAAACAGCCTGATATTGGAGTATCACATTGTCCAATCCTGAAACCGCAGGAATTAAGTAAATGGTTGAAAAACACAAGAAACCCAAATTTTACCTTTTAACCAGTACATAACTTGCTCCACCGACCAGTCCTTCACATTTACGTACGCCATGATATGAGTAAAGTTTAGCMCCGATAATAACCAACAACATTCGTTAAACTATACATAAATCACTAAATTAAAATTGCAAAAAATGTTCCGTAAACACTATAACTAAAACCATTGTTTTCTTTTAACTTAAAAACAAGTTCAAACAAGTCCCGATTACTGTCATTTGTCAGTTGGGAGATTCCATTACTCATTCATCAGCTGACTAGCAATTGAGAACGTGAATGTTGCCAGATATGTGCATTTTTAATGATGTTTGGGAGTTCCGCTAAATTGTTGCGTTTAGGGAGTATTTGCAGTTTGCATGTCACGTCTAATACCCGTGGGTTACGATAACAAGCAATTGCATGTTTTTTAAAGGTAAGCAGCCTGTAATTGTTTAGGAGTTTCACGGCTAAAACCAAAGACATTAATAAATAGACCAAGCTATTCATTCATAAGTCTCGATTTGTTTGAGATCAACATTGAATTCTATCGATCGGCGATTCATCAATGAACAATAGGTGGTAGGGATAAAATCAGGTACCGATACATATTTTACAAACAATAGAATTATCCATCCAAGGACACGCTCGGCTGGCCGCTACGGGTCCTATGACTAGGCATGGACTACTCCACAGAACATCCCCCCTTAGATGTGAAACAGAAATGATAAATTTTGAATACACGTTTAGCGCCCCCGACGGTGAAACTCGGTTAGAATATGTCATTTATCTAATATTTTATTCCTGATTGCTTTTACCAAATTATATCAGCCCGAAACCTGCAAGCCTACTTACAGTTATCAACCTAGTAAGTATATATTTCCGGTCAATAAAGGAGAACTTATGATAATATTCTATTAAATACATTATCACGAAATCAGTTGCAACAATTTTTTGCGATTTTAACTGTTCTTAAAAAATGTTTGTTCCTATTATGTAGAACACAGTGTACGCCTTCACTCGTACAGATACAACATATCGCCCCAAATGGAGATAGCCGCCCCCGCGTCTAGAGAACATATCAATTTAGCCTTATTTAGTTACCATTCTAAGGGGGGATATTTTATGGACTACGCCTTGTAGATATTTTCCCTTACTATTTGCGAGTTCCAAAGTCCAGACGCCCCCTGGTGACTAAATTATAACTACAAGTTTAGTCGTAATTTGACATTTGTTTTGTTGACATTTGTGTTTACACCTGATTGTGATTTGTTTTGTTTTGTTCTAATCAACTTTTGCATTCTTAAAGAAATAGAAACAGATCGAAAAGTGTGTAAGTATTGTTTTATGTTATAAATGTCATCAACTTCAATAAATAAGCAAGTCTGACAAATCTGAACTGACACTCGACAACGAATAATTTGACGTTTCGCAGCGCCACCATCCCGTTAGTTAAACTCGCGAATAATGTTACTATTCCGTATTCCCCTCATTAACGGCGTTTTCATGATGAATGTTTCATTATTTTTTCTTGTAACTAGCACATTAAATTCTTATTAATTTTTTAATTTTAAATTTCAACGCTTTATTTTAATGACATTTACTTGTCGCTTATTACAAAGAAAACAAGTATTAACACTAAATACCCTGATAGCTACCCTTTTCTTGATATTTTCTTGTTGATGCTACTCAGGTACAGGATGTCCCGTAAACCCATGATCAAACGGGTATTGCGATATTATTTGGATCAAAAGAAAACGATCTGACTTAACTTGTATTAACAAAAAGTGTCTGGTTCCTCTGCCATTGATGGTCAATGTTCTTCAAAAAAAATATGTATTTTGGTGAAACTCGCCAAACTCGAAAAAGCGTCAATTCTTGAGTGTTGTGGTACAAAAACTACCAGAACTTTGTATTTGGTGGATGGAATCAACTAATTTTTTTTTGGTTGATACGCTAATCGTTTATTCACAATTTTGTGCTCTTTGTAAAATCTTGTAGCATTCATAGTTTTTGCGCGAAAAATATGTCTGTTTTCTTGCCACTTAACAATGTTAGACATTAACTGCGAACATTTGATTAAAAACTGAAATATTAAATACGAAAGTGTTTCTATTGGTTGGAGACCTGTCAGTTCGGTTCTTGGGACATCGGCTTAAGAGTAATAATTATAATTTGGTTTGTTTGTTTGTGCGTCACTGATGTCCACTTTTGTTCAAACGTAATACATTTCTCCCTTTTTCTATTAGATATCCACATACATAGATATATAAAGCTTCAGTTTATAATGTTTGAATTCATTGTTATTCGCTTAATCCTACAGCAAATTTACGGGCTGCAAAGCCTTTTAAAGTTTTATATAAATGAAATGATAATTTTAATCTTCCTAGGTATATGAAAATTCAGTGTGCGTATCTGATATGAAGCGACTTTTGAAAACTATGAATAACCTTTGTTGGATAGATTGCTGAGATTTTAACATTTTTTTTATAAAAATAGTTTCACATAATAAAAACGGAAGGAGTTCATTATGTTACTCATTGTTGTTCAACTCGTTCGTTTTCCTCCTGAAATTTGATATTTTTGTCGTAAACTATTAGTTTCCATGTTTGTTTCATTATGAAAGTTTGAAAACATATAATTATTTTACCTCATGCTTGAGAGCTGATAGTTTTTTCCGCGAAACACGCGTTTGTCCGCAGTAATTTGATGAGTATAAACAAACGCGCTATACATAAGTACATACGTTTATTTTGGTGCATATCTAGAGATAAGGTCTGACAAACATTAGCAAATACGTAATTTTAAGTTAAGTCCATATTATTGTCAAAAGGTTCCAAAAATTCGTCTGCAGTACAAATTTATACAGTTTAGTGAAATGTCTCTGCCTGAAACGTATGTCCATGGTTTCCATGATGAAGCCCTGGTAAGGGAAATGCCTTGGCATCCTTTAGGAAATACTGGAATGCAAGTCAGCAGAATAGCATTGGGAGCTGGTGGATTCTCATATTTTTATGGGTATGGAAGAAGCGCAGTTAATAGAAAACAGTTATAGGATTAGGAATACCTAATGCCCCCCTGGGAATTTTAATATCAATACTGCATTTGCTCTCTAGAGACTATGATATAGAAGAATGCAAGAGAACTATCTATGAAGCAATCAAAAATGGAGTAAATTTTATTGACACTGCTCCATGGTATGGTCATGGAGAATCAGAGAAAGTTTTAGGGCAGGTAAAAATGTCAATAATAATTCTGTGAAATTGCCAATTTTGAACCAATTGAGAGTACAAAAATAGTTAGTTAGTAAGTTAAATATGCAGAAGTGATTAAAAATTGGCATCCCGCTTCAGGTGTTGTCAGGAGGCGTTTATAGAGTAAAGTTAAATTTAGTGTTACCTTCGGCCCATAAGACGCTTCCAACATTTAAGTTCATGTTACAAGGTGCATTTGCTAATCTGAAAAATACGGTACATGTTTGTAGACGCAGTCTAACGGTAAAAATAGAGTTCTGTTAAAAGTTCCGTTTGTGGTAATCGAATCGAATATTTCTAAAATGCCTATCACCAAAAAAAAATTCAAAAAATTATTCGACCTGCAAATGCAACTCTAAAAAGTCTAGAACACAGTTATGAAGTTTTTTTTATAAAAAAAAATCGACTGGTCATGTTACTTTAGCAATAAAATTCGTTCCGACTAAAAACTTCTGAAGTTCGCGTCCAGTTGATTTATTGCGACTTTTATTCAGTATTTTAAAGATTTTTCAACTGTCGATTGGATCCTTCGAAAATAGAAATAGGTGCTTAATGCTGTGTGCGAAATTTATAAGCTCTGATACTTTAAGTGCTTTGTACTTATCTTGGATGAAAATGCTTAAAGCTCTTCCCAGACGTTACTGAAACCGACTAACATTCATAGATACAATACGTCATGCAATACTCTATCTATAATTATTTCAGTGCCTACAAGGAATTCCACGGGAAGCCTACTATGTAGCTACAAAAGTAGGTCGCTATGAGAAGGAGGTTGCGAAAATGTTTGATTTTAGTGTTGAAAGAACTCGTCGAAGCATTAACGAGAGTCTTGAAAGGCTTAAACTAAATTATGTTGACTTGCTGCAGGTAGATAACGTTGCAAAGGGGTTTTATATGTTTTTTATTAGTAAAAACTGTATCATGGTTTTGATTAGGTTCACGATGTTGAATTTGCTCCTTCGATGGACGTAGTGCTGAATGAAACGCTGCCTACAGTTAAAGAAATTGTTAATTCAGGAAAAGCTGAACACATAGGTATAACTGGTTACCCTGTTGGCGTTCTTAAAGAATGCATTGAAAAAAGCAAGGTTCCGATAGAAACTGTTTTGAGTTATTGCCGCTCTACTATGATTGATTACACATTGAATGAATATCTACCATTTTTTAAGGTAACATTTAAACGTACTAATAAAATGCAATAAATGTTTAATTAAGTGGTGTGAAAAGCAAAAACAAGCATCCATAATTTGGCTTGTCAAGAGATGTTGGGTTTGAGTGTTTCAATCTTTTTTTGTATAAGGTTGTTAGTGTAAAGCTGGCTAAAGAATGGATTTTGTAGCAGTCGTTTCGTAGCAATCGAAATCGTCTTAAGGCCACCATCTTAGTCAAAAAAAATATTTGTAAAATTCTTGTTGTGTGTACGATCCAGATCTAGTCACTGCGAGGGTGAGTTTTCTTTTACAAATATCAAGCTGCTGCGGCTTAACACCATCAAATCAAAATATCAGCTTCGTCTCATAAGAGAAATAGGACTTTTCAAAAAAAATGTGTTGAAAACGCAACAAGCTTTGGATCAGTGGCTTAATTAGAAAAATTAAGCTTGGCGCAAAAAAACGCCAATAGATGAAGTGCTTCACCGTTTAAGAAATATTTAAATTCTCCGAAACCGTGTGAAACAGCGATCTAGGGAATAGAGCAACTATTTTACCTCAGCGTGCCGAAAGTTGTATTATGGTATAAAATTAGAGCGAAACTGTTAGTTTACATAATATATAGTTTGCTTCATTGTAGTCAAAAGGTATCGGAGTAATTAATGCAGCCGTTAATTCAATGGGTCTACTTACTAATAATGGGCCACCAGGTTGGCATCCGGCCACCGACTCTATAAAAGACGTGTGTAAAGAAGCGAGTGATTATTGCAAAGTTAGTTATTAAGAAACGTGAACAAATTAAATTATCTTAATAAATTAATTTTACATCAGGATAGGGATGTTGAGTTAGGCAAATTAGCAGTTTATCACGGGCTGAACAATTCTGATGTAGTTCTCATTGGAATGAACAATAGGAAACTGCTTGAGTATAATCTAGATGTTCTCAAAAATGGAATTAATGAGAAAGAGCAGAAAGTATATGATGACGTTTTACAGTAAGACTTCTTTTCACTCCAAATACGTTTATTTAAAAAATATATGTAGTTGTTTGCTTGGGTGAAGCAGTCTTAAATGTATTTTTTAGAATATTGGCAAAACTGCCAGCTAATTCACAATGGGAGAATGTTGAATTGGAGCGGTTCAGAAAGCCTCAGATATAATATTTTACTGGAATTCTGACTGGAAATTAAACTTGATGGGTGGTATTATATGGTATATTTTTAACAGCTGAGAGAAATTTACTGTTTTAGTTGATTATGAATAATAAAATGTGGAGGAGTGGTTTTTCTTTTCATATTTCCTTTTTTATTCACAAATTTACTAAATACGTTTCCTTCTTACAGTAAATACTTTTAGCGGTGTCAAAGGCTAATTTTTTGACTACATTATTACACACAAGGTGAGTTTTAATAGAAGTTTATATTTTGCAGCATTATTGTACGGTAATCGATTGCGATTTGCACTGTCTACTAATAATCCTCTACTCAAATTTTACTTACAACAACAGTAAACTATATATTTTTTTAGACCATTTCATTGGGTATTTTGACTCAACATTTTTAAAATTTATGAAAGTTAACGTGATTTTTCTATAGCAAATCTGCTTTCGTTCTCAAAACCTACCCGAATTTACCAAATAAATAAAATCTTAAGAACTTAGCAACAGTAAGATTTGCTTTGGTATTTTCAAACATCTTTCATTCTTCTTCTTTCTTTGGAGCAGTATATTACTGCTCCAAATAATGTTTGATTAGATAATTGTGCATACTTCAAAGCGCTTTTTTTTATTTCCCTTTGCAACTTATTACGTTACATAGTTATATCATAAAAGTATTTGCTGGTTTCGTTTCTACTTTAATAGTTGGGGTGTGGTCAGTATTGATACCCGCTAACTTGTCCTTTCTTATTTTGTTATGTCTATCATGTCGCCTTTTAATTTCTAAAATGTCTTTCATTTCTTCCTTGTCTTCTTCCTAAAGAGTAAAACGTGATTAGCTAATTAGCTTGCTAACAATAGTAATATCATTTATATCATAGCATCAGTTCATCTTGTTTTTTTTTGTTTTTGATAGTATAATTCGTATTGGTCCTATAAGATTTCAAAGATGAGAAATTCAAACACGCGCAATATTCCTGGTGGGCCTAATAAAACATGCATTTATATCTATCTAATATCTTACCGACTGGTTGAGCCTTAAAACGAGAGCTCTTTTGCCATCGCTCATTGGTTGTGAATAAACATTCAATTGCTTGAGCCGTTCAGGTGGGCTAACACCTCTTTCTACGACCAAAACAATGCGAGCCCACTGTCGCTGCCATTCGTTACGCGTTTCCGCTATCTTTTGGTATGTGTTACCCATCATAGCGATTAACATATTAATTAACAAAATTGCCACAATGGCCATAAATATTACGAAAAGAATCTGAAAATAGGCAAAATGTTTATGCAGTTGCTAGTTCGTCCAGTTGGATTACTTTAGCCTCATATTCGTGCTCGGTCCTAGCAAATGCTGTGTAATAATCTCCGAAGTTGGTCATGGACATTAAAAACATTGCCATAATGGATTCGGATGGAGTTGACATTGGATTCGTAGCCGAGTCATCGACGTCTTCTGGTGTCAATGGGTTATCAAAAGACAAGAAAATTATGTAGTATGCTAAAATATTTAAAATGTATTTTATTATGTTGTATCAAGAAAAAACTAGGTACCTTGAGAAAATCCCATGACAAAAACCATGTATATAGTTGCGAAACGTAGCAAGTCGCCTAGAACCATGCGATAGATCATTACCACAAACGGACCTACTGTTTTAAAGCCTCTAAAAACCCCACAAGTTATACAAAAAACAAGGTTACACGGAAGCAATTTTAACTTTACCTACAGAAAAATAGGAAATATGGAGCCGTCGTTAGCATAACTACTACTGCGATTATATCTTCAACTTCATCCATGCATACCAAGCGCAGGCTAGGAATTACTCCAAAAACCAAAATGCAGGAAAACAAGAACATAACTCTCGAAGGAGCAGTCATCTGAAACGATAAGTTTGCAATGCCCCCACTATTAGTATTGAATTATTGCGTTTGTTATTGGGATTGTGTTGTTAGTCTTCATCTGTGCTCAATTTTTTTAAATGCTTTTTTATTTTGTCTCCCTGCCACCGGCGTATTCGTGCTTCTTCACCGAACTGTTCGAAGACTAGAGTACACTTCCATTAAACTCAATTTTTTCTTGCAGATTTTCGATGTTACTGGACAACTTTTTCAGTTCAATTTTTTTCATGAAAATTTTTTATTTTTACCGCATAGGTACACACATTTCGTCACTTGGGTTTTTCAGATTTGAAAGAGACCAGGCACGGTGTGAAAATGTTTTGTATGTTCGTAGACTTAATATATCAAGATTGGGCCAATTGGCTTGGATGAAATTTAGCACGAGTATGCTTGACATAATGTGGAATAAGAGAAAATTATAAGTAACACCTAAAAATAATGTCCACAGCCGGTAAATTCATGAGGACATAGCATTTTTATCAGCTTTTTTCAATCATTCTTTATCTGGGATCAGAAAAACCCAAGGAACGATTAGACTAACGCAAATTATAGATTGCATGTTAGTTCTGTGCGTAAAACTATGGAAGTTCGGGGTGTTCTGGGGTTTTTCAGTATTGCTTTGGCCAGCAACAAGGTAATAATCAGCGTTTATGGAAAAAAAATTTTCGATGAAGACTACCCATGGAGCGATTAGCAGAGACGCAAATAACAGAGTAGCTAAATGTTCGCTCTGCGCGTAGAAATAGGGAAATAGGGTTTTTTTCGGAGTTTTCCGGCATTCTATCGGTAACATGTTATTTAATAGCTTTTACGAGTTATTTCCTACCTACCATACGAATTTCTCAAGATATGATTTGCGTTATTTTAATTCCAGAATTACTTTTTTTTTTAACAAAAAACTGTTCAAATCGGAGATTTTCCGGTCCTTTCCTGGCCAGTAATATGGCAAATATCAGCTTTTATAATTAATTCTTTACCTACGGTAGACAGTACCCAAGAAACGTATAGCCTGACGCAATTTATAGAGTGAACATTAGTTCTGTAGTAAAACTATGGAAATCAGGGTTTTTCTGTATTTTTCCGACGTTTTGTCGGAAGGTAACATAGTATTTAATAGTTTTTAAGAGCAATTGTTTAACTACGATAAGATTTTCTAATGTTATAACTATCGAATTATTTGAATAGAAAACAGAGAAAATCCGTAATTTTCTGGGGTTGTCCGCAATAGCATCGGAAAAGAATTTTATTTTTTCAGTTTAGAGTCTAACAACGAATCTAAATAATTGTCATTTTACTACAAAAAATCACGTTTTTCAGTTTAATCGATTTTTCCGGAAAAATCATAATCCGAAGACGCTTTTTTGCTTAGATTTGAGTTCGGCATATTAAACTACATAACGAACATTGTTTGCGCAAAAATATTCACTTGCTATAAAGCTATGATTTACTTTATGGCATAAAGTGTAAAAAATATCCTATTTTCTCATGAATTTGCCGGCTGTAGAAATGTTTTTAGGTCTTACATTTTTTCTTTGTTCCACATTACATCAAGTATACTCGCGCTAATTTCACCCAAATCAATTGGTCCAATCTTGAGATATTAGGTTTACGAGTAATAATTTTTTTTTCACGCCCGTTCTTTATGGCAATTTTTTACGTTTCAATTGTTATTTATATATGTCCGTTGTTAATGAATAAGAATTGACTGGTGACTGGTATATTTGTGTTCGTTTAGGAGAATTTATTTTTCAGATGCTTGCTTTTACCCAAGTTTTAGGTCAAATTTAGGTACTAGATTATTCTTTTCTAATTCGGTTCTGTCTTTTTGTAAGCTTTACCAAATTTTCGAAAAACATTCTTAAACCCAAGAATCGGGCTTCTCTTACTGCGGCCGCCAAATAAAGAAATGCACCAAACGTGATTCCAAGTTCAGCAGTAAATCTCACTAGTGACTCAGTCGTGTCTAAATTCATTAATCGACATTCCTCTCGTAAATTATCCCACCATTCCTCAACATCATAATCATCATTGCTGGTATCTGCAACAACATTAGTTAGAAAATGTATTAGTTCATTTAGAAGATAAATGTTCACCTTTATTGACGGCTTGATGTAAATTGTGCAATACTTGTTGGCTTATGTTCACACTCATAATGATACTTTGGATAGTAGCATTTGGTATTTTAAGTTGTTTGGTAGTATTAGTGCTGTTTTTCGGAGAGTCCGTATGAATTGGTGGTCCCGGCCTTAAAGTAAATGCTGAATACGCTTCAGTAATAATTAAGTAGTAGAAAGTACATTATTCACTTACCCACAAGCGATACGGTGAAATAAAACGCAAAAGTAAAAAATTGCCGGTAAAATTTAGATTTCACAAACGTATTCCACTTGGCATTTAATAGATCAACTAATACTCCATCGAGCAGTTCTAAATGTTCATCTTTATCCTGAAAAATTGTTGTATTGGCACATTTAATAATGAGGCAATACGCTAAGACTTACACCAAATACTACCAGATTCAGCGCTGACATTTTACTGATTTGTCCAGTCTTAACATCTATCGTATCAATCTGAGATAGAGGATAGGCGGCACATGTAATGCTTCCTAAGATCGGAAAGTTTCAGTTTGGATTAAAAACTAATTAAAAAGTGCTAAAGTGAAAAAGTGTTACCTTTAGAAGAGAATTAATAGTAATAACTAGGAACAAATAGCAAGCTTCGAAATATATGTGTTAAAGTCGATAGATGGAATAGTTAGTGATCGAAAAATGTGTAGCGTTTCTGAAAAATTAAAATCCTATTTGCAACACAATGTTGTAAATAATAATTGTAAGGAACTGCGACGCGACAAAGGAAAGTTAGATAAAGAAAAAAATGGATAAAGTTTTTGGAATATTTTTCCACATAAGCGGTAGACTCGATTTATATACCCAAATAATTAGTTTTCAGCCGCAACATCTTAGCTATTTAAATAGCGTTTGAATAATCTTGGTGCTAACTAATAAAAATATTTAAAACACATCTCATTTGGGGTACACTTTATTTCAAATTCAATTCAAATAATAATTTAAATATTGTGTATTGACCGAAATACTATAGTGAACATTAAAAGTTTTACTTTTTTGCAATTTAGACGTGCTTTATCTAAAACACAATTTGCTTTATCTAAAACACACAAGAATATTTGACTTGTTTTTCAAAACTTTTTAGAAAGTTTATGGCAATATATATGTTTTTACATTCGTGCTACGCTACAAATGATGCGTATAACGCAATTTTTCCTGTGAAAAACTTTGAAAAAATTAACGAGATAAGTAGGTTATTTTTGTCTCATTTATTCACTAGCGGACATTGTAGAAAAGTTTGCAAGAAAATGTGTTTTTCTTAACTCTACTGTTAAACTCAAATCGCATTTTCTTGCAATATTATACTTTTCTTGGAACATATTTTTCTTTTATGGTTAATTAAGTTTTTATAAAGCTCCACTTGTCAAATTGGCGAAAATATTGATTAACTGTTAATAACTGTTATAGTATACCTATCTGCCAGTATATTTCCCTCTCTAGCTTTAAAATATGGAAAAATATATCCATTCTTGCTAGCTTGGCGGCCAGCGTTAAAGGTGTCATTTTCAGAATGTTCCTTATTGAAAGGTGAGCACCTAATTCATATGCCATATCGAAAGCTTCCTAGAACAATTTCAATACATAACAATAAATAAATAAAAATTCTTATATCTTTTCCTCACAATAAATTCCTAAAAAAGGTGCGACATCGGACCTTTTAGCCGTGTCATAAGATAAAGTTTTTGAATGTGTTTTGAACCACATTGTATATTCTAATGTTTTTTTTGATGGAATGTTTTATCAAAAAAAGCTATTATTTGCCCGCAAAACCAGGCGTCTATTCTTAGCAGAAAAAAGGAACACACTGGCTCCTAAAAAGGTATTGTGCCCCGGTCGCGAGTTAAGCTTGCTACGGCACTGGAAACATGCCACTTGTTAACTATTTAGCTGTTATTATAATATTTGAAATATCTGTAAAACAAACCAGAAGTTTTAGTTGTGCTACGAGGAAAGCACATATGAATACAGTCAGATTAAATTAGATGTTTATAATAAATCAATGTTTTTAATACCATATAATTTTCATAGATTTGGCTTTTGGGAACAACAGTTGGCCGCCAGATTGGTACGTTGTGTATAATTATTATACCTGATAAACTCTACATATTTATCAGGGCAATTATAAAAAAAATAAATTTCATTTTGACTCAAAGTTATAGCTAGCTTTCTCCAGGGCACTACTAGTTAGCCACGCTAATCAGGTGTTTATTCAAAATTATCTTACCACTTTGGAATAAATAACTAATAAATGCAGGACAGTGTTTCCATTAGTGTCTTGTGCATCTAAATTGGCACCCTTTGCCAAAATTAATCGAAAACTTTCTTCTTGACCTAAACATGCAGCAAATGACAATGGATATTCACCCCAGTACACATATCTGAAAATACAATACAATTAACTTTATACATTTGCTGGGTCTGAGTAGTGGATTGAAAATTCAGATTAACATTAACGTTTCGATTCACTTGCTAATCATGATCAAATGTATTTCATCAACAATTTTTTTTAAATTTCATCCATTGTGATCTCGTGCACTTAGTTCTTCCGATTCTTGATTTATTACTCCTTTTCAATATGTCTTTGCATAGAATTATTCTACTACCTAGAGCAATTTCTCTCTATCGGTGGGTACCTTGCCGTGTTTGTTCTTAAGCCTTAGAATTGCTCTTTTACTCTTTGCCGGTTTTTTTTCTCAAGACCTTCAAATTTCTATTTTCGTCTATTGCATTCATAATTAATTCGTTGTTGTAATTTGTTAAATATTTTCCTATGTTTTAGAGATATTTTTATTTAGTTCTCTCACATCGTGTTGGTTCAAGTTATCCTGCTTTAACAGTTTTCTTCGATTGTTCATTATTTCTCTGAGATATTAATTTGAAAATGATTTTTTACCCATGATACAAAGTACTTGAACGTTATGAATTTAATAGGAATGAAACGCAATAAAAAGTCTTTAAAAAAATAACTAAAATAAGACTCATATTTTGATTAAACAATCGAGTACATCCGTTCTGGACAAGTGGTGAATTCTTGGGTGTCGTGATACAAAAACTAACAGAACTTTTTATTTGGTGGATGAAGTCAACTCATTTTTTTTTTGGTTGATGCACTAATTATTTATTCACAATTTTGTGCTCTTTGTAAAATGTTGCAGCATTCATAGTTTTTGCGAAAAAAATATTTCTGTTTTCTTGCCACTTAACAATGTTAGACATTTTTTGTTAATAGAAGTTAGGTCAGACCGTCTTCTTTTGACCCAGATGATATCGCAGTACCCTGTTAATCATGAGCTTACGGGATACCTGTATATTGAGGTTCATAGTTAGTGAAAATAATGCAAGTACGAATTTACCCATCATAATTTGTTTCGTGATAAACATTCACCCATTCGTGATCTAGAGAATCAGTTCTCGATGATTTCTGATCTTCTGGACACATGAAATTACCGAAACATCTTTCCTGAAAGTTCACATTTGCGGCAAGAAGAAACTTTACCATGGAAGGATCCTCGTTAACTATGGCGATATGTAGAACATTTTCACCTAAGATCAAAACACGCTCTTTAGTAGGAAGCTTTTAAATATAATTTTTAATTACCATAGTATTCATCTGATATGTAAATATCGTTGATCAATTTGGGATAGAACCTCAATAGCCTCTTGGCGATGTCTGCATGTAGAGAAGTGGCATTCAATAAACAAAGATGTAAAATTGTTTCTCCAACCGCTCCTCTTTCTCTCAGCTTCCAACAAACATGCCGATATAATGATGGATCTGGAGAACATAGTTCTTTATTAGTCACCTCAGAATATCTACATTTTAATATTTCAATATTGCTTAGATTAGAATGCCTTTAAACCATATGGCCAGATTTGGAACATACAAAATCACATACGATTTTTCCCATTCAGTTGAGAAGTATTTCCCATAACTTGACTCAAGATATGTTCGTACTATTATACTTTGATTGTATTGTTGATCCAGGTGAAAGTGGAGAATTCGAAGGCAAACGATCGCCCTACCCATGGTCCCCTGTATAAGGGACTGCCCATATTTTATGAGGATTTTGTCCTCTAACAAAACGTGACGACGGTGTTTCTGGCAGGCTGGAAACGCAAAAAATCCAACACTACGTGACTTGTCGGATTCGTGCTCCCTTGCTCTGGTCGGTGCTGGTTGGTCTTTACACCGTCGAGCGAGAGGGGGCGTGGCCTAGGCCATCTACTGAACGAGACTGCCACCGGTTCACCAGGTCGAAGCAAAATGAGGTTTTTGGCTTCCCTTCAGGAAGACCTTTTTTCTTATTAAATGCTCCTCGAATAATACCAAAACCGCCACTTCAAGATTATATCCTGATCTGATTAAAAATAAATGTTTGGAGTGTTTCCTTCCACAACTACCAGTTTAATCTAATTTAGAAACATCACCAGGTTGAAAATAGGATGTTAAAATCCACTGATTTTACCTTTATTGTACTCTTCTTCAGTTATTTCGGGTCCTTCATCATCGACTTCAAAATCCTCAGGATTTTCCATTCCTCTAAGTTGGGGCAGCTATCAACAAACAATTTATATACAGGATCGCTTTGATGTATAGAAACGGTGGATTATTCAACCAAAAAAAAATGAGTTGTTCCATCCACCAAATAAAAAGATCTGGTAGTTTTTGTAGCACGACACTCAAGAATTCACCACTTGTCCAAAACGGCTGAACTCGATTATTTCAACAAAATATGAGTCTTACATAAGAGCAAATTCACAGCGAGTTTCACCAAAATACATCGTACCATTCTCCCGATATTTCAAAAAAGATCATTTTTTTGAAGAGCTTTGACGATCAATAGCAGAGGAGCCAGACATTTTTTTTCGATAAAAGTTAGGTCAGATCGTCTGCTTTTGATCCAAAGAATATCGCGGTACCCTTTTGACCATGTGCTTACGGGACACCCTGTATATGTATTATGTAATAATACATTTTTGCCTGACACTTACCAGTTTATGCTTCCCGCGTTCCTTGTTCCTTAAAAGCACCATTTGAGATATTGGGATATAACGCCCGGCACCTTTATTGTACAGAAAATGTTCCACCTATAAGCGATGCAAATATCTTTAAACATATTTTGAAAATAGACGCAATACTACACGAATGTATACTATTCATATGTATCGACCTTAGTTTTGATGGCGTGATCTATTTCCGCGTACTGCTTATTCTGGGCTGCCCTTTTCATAAGTTCCACCAGCAGACCGCCCCCTCAAATACGAAATCATTATAACCAAGTAGAAATGTTTAACTGATTAAAATATAGAAGAACAAACAGGTAAAAAATACCTTTCAAATCACAAAGTTTATATATCGGCTGCATGGCGGCTCCCGCCTGTTTTTTGACGCCACTAGTAACATTACTCTCGGTATTACCCATTTTTACAGCTTTTTTTGCAAAATAACTATTGTTAAATCCTGTTAATCACCCTAAACACACCACAGTAGCAGTGCAATTGATCAAACAGCAAACATTTCTGTACGAAAGTTTGATCGATATTAAATTAGGTAATTTGCATTAGAGGCGAAGCCAAATTGAAAAAAACTGGGGGCCCTAGAAGCCCCTCACTTCTCTCCTAAAAAAGTCCGTCTGAAATAATAAAAATTTGTTTTTAAATATATATATAATATTTATGTGCTATAAAAAATTCAAACCGCTGCAAGCCGCATATGCAATTAAAATTTTCACTGCTTGTTGAGTCTCGAGAAGAATTTTAGCTTCGTACATCCATTGCGTGGCAATTGACCTAAAATTATAGGGCATCAGCAACTGTGCTTGAGTAATTTAATCAGAAATCAATTAGTATATTTCTTAGATTTTAAACTGTTCTGCGGTCTTGCTTACCGAGGTGCTCCTTTTAGTAAGTTCATGTACTTTAAAGTTTGCAACAAATTCCCGTGATCTAGCCAGAACTTAGCTCTATATAGAATTTCGCTAGAATTCATTTTAGTAAAATCAGTTACATCATCATTTAATTCAGCTTGAGGAATACGGGATGGATTTATTAAGAATAGATCCTGAAGGTACGACAAGATGTGTACTACTAATGAAGCTCCTTCAGCTGGGACTAAGTCTACTTTTCTCGCTATTTTTTCCACTTGGCTGAATCTCTTTTTGAGAGCTTCTTCCGAAAATATGCCTATATCATATGCAAAAGATAATCCTTTAAACTTTCAAGTTGGAGTGGCACTCACCGCGCTCCCAGGCTTCTGTTGGTAATGAACGTAAAACGGTTCTAGCAAACTGATCATGAGGAGAGATAGCATTTACTAAAACACTTATTTCATTCTGAAGACATTTGATCTGAGTAGGACACTCTGGAGATCCGGTTTTAAGAGATTCTAGAACAGCCTGCGAAGCAGTCCATAAGATTGGAGCCTGTTGAAAGGATATCTTGTAATTATCTGGGGAAGTACGTATTCCATAAAATGTTCCCTCGTGAAACAAAAAGTCATACATTACATTAAATTAGGTAGTTATTTAAAAAAATAAAATAAAAAATTAAAAACATATATCAAGCATTTTCACTTGCTTTGTCAATTCGAAACATGACAATGGCTGGTTGTTGCAAGCCGGGCTCAAAACTTATTCCTGAACGTGGTGCAACTGATTATTCGAAGTGTTGTGAACTCGGTTGAAGCTTTAGCTGTTTATTTTCCAATACTTTAAGATGCATTTGTATTACATTCCTATACATGCGTCTATAGCCGCAACAGATCAGGTCGTGAGGTACTTTTGAGAAAAACTGTTAAAAAGATGGATTTTGATAGAAGAGGAAGAAATCGAACAATTTCTTAAAAAACAAATTTGCTATATTCCAAAGTCGTCC